AGAGCGACCCATTCTTTCACACAATGTTTGTAAAAACAGTCTGCATGCCTAGGTACTTGATTTTATACCCCTGTGGCCATGGAAGTGATTGGAACACCTGATTCTGATTATTTGGATGGGTGAGCGAATACTTTTGGCAAAATAGTATATATTATTATATGACACAGAAAAACAACACAGTCTAGTTCGAATGGATGCATGTACATGGCAAGAAAAACGAATTTTGCAAGTTTACCAGACGGATGGCCTAGGGCAGTGATGGCAAACCTTTTTTTGGGGGGGTGCCAAAAATGCAAGGGCACACATGCTATTGCGTGCCAGCACCCATAATGCAAAGCGTGCCCCTGCATGCGTATGCACGCACAACTCCCCCCTTGATTCCTTCCCCCATGTGCGCCACACTGCTTGCCTCCAAGCTGAGCCTCTGGAGGCTGGGGAGATCAAAATGGCCTCTCTTGGCCCTCCAGAAGGCCGAAAATCAGCTGACTGGCACACGCATATGCGCTGGAGCTGACGGCTTGCGTGCCGGTAGGTATGGCTCCGCGTGCCGCCATTACAGGCCGAGGGAACAAAGCTGTTACAGAATCTGGCAGTCCTGCTACAAATAGCAACACAGACAGACCATGAAGGGGGTGTGTGGGGTCTCTAAGCACATAGCGCTTATAAGAGTATCCTGAATAATGGGAAGCAAGCTTCCTATAATCTTCTCTGCTGTCCTCACCACTCTCTGTAGGGACTTTCTATCTGAGGCAGTGTTGCCACCAACTCTAACAGTGATGCAGTTTGTTAAAACTCTCTTAATCGTGTCTCTGTAAAAAGTGGCCAGGCCAGAAGGAGAAAGATGTGCTGTCCTCAACGGACGCCAGAAATGCAAATGCTGGTTTGCATGCTTCACTACGTTTCCATGTTTATGAGGATGCTGGGATGGCCATAAGTGCAAGGACCAGTTGTAAGTCATTTTTTTTCCAGTGATGTTGTTAATTTAGAATGGACACTGAACAAACGGTTGCAAGTTGAGGACTACCTGCATATATTCGTGTTGGCTTGATTGTCCTTACCTGCGTGTAGCTTCTTTAATGTCTCATAAGTGAAGAAGCTCAAACCAGCATAAGGGATCACCCCCAAGATGGTAGGTGAGAAGCCCCTGTACAAGGTTTTCAATCCTTCCTCGTGAGATATTCGCATAAATACGTGAATTATGTTGCTGTACCTGCCAAAGGAAAATGGAATAGGCTACATTGTGGACTAGAATCCTGACAACATCAGACAAAAGTTAGAAAGAAGTTCGCAGGGAGAAAGTCAAGGCTGACTCGCTTTGCACTTTCGCTCAAAGCCAGACAACCAAGGGTGGGGTGGGGGAGGTGATTGGAATGTATGGATGGATGGGAAGGAATTAAGGCATGTGCACCGTCTGTGGCCTGGAATAATCTCGATACTTCAAGGTCAAACAATGAGAGACTTTGGAGCCGAGCAGGCTGTTTCCCAAAACAAAGAGATGCCCATTCTCACGACAAGCCCAAGCCACGGTAGACGTCGCTGTTTCAATAGTGTATACATGCTAGAAATTCCAGCACGTTCCAAGACTACGCTATTTGGAACTTTGTCATGCCAGGTGATGCCAAGAATACGTCGGAGACGGCGCATATGCGCATGAGTGCATTACTGAAACAATTACAATCCTGGAGTGGAAGGAAGCCTTTTGCAGAAGAAATTATCTCTTTTTGTCATAACTGGCAAAACTTTCTTGGCTTCGAAAGAGATCAAAGCAAGTCTTCATTGGGATGAGGCTCTGTGCTCCAACCTTTCACTATGTAGGTTTTCAGGAACAATAATTGTTAAAAGAATACACCTCCCACACCTCCCTAACTACTTACATTTCCTTGGGCGTTACTGCCATGCGGGCACGGACCAGGTCCAGGGGGTATGTCAACATGGAAGCTGTGATCCCTGCCAGAGAGCCTGCGATGAATCTGGGCAGAGGGGTGAGCGCCCTACAACAAAAATAATATTTGAAAAGGAGAATTTCTTTGGTTGTTGGCTAACTAGATCCTAAAGACCACTCCAGACTGGGCAAAAAAAGCTTCCAAATTGAACACTGTTCATTCCAAAACTCTGGCTGTGTTCCCTTGCCACAAAAGTACAGTTGGCAGGATTCATATATCAGGCTAAGAAATGAATCAAAATTTATAAACCACAAAGGCCCAGGTCCAACTCCTGTTTTGACCCAGGCTTCCCCAGCAGCACGAAGCTGAGTCCTCATCCCGATAAACCCCTTTTATTTAATGTACAGTGAATTCCTCTCCTGCAAAGCCTTTCTTCTTCCACAGTCTTTCAAGATAGTTCATAATTACCGACCTTTATCAGGCTTGGAGGCCGATATCTTTCAGACACCGCAATACTTGGCAAGAATGCAGGAATGAACTGTCTCCTACAAACTCCATTCCCCTGTTGCTCCTCTTTTATTTCTTCTGGGAGGGGCCATTCACCATCCACCTGTGGCTTTACTCTCAAGCCCTGTTCTTTAGCTATTCCCGTCGTCTGCACATGCAGACACTGGGAACAGGCTACAGCTGTTTGTCTGCTTCACTGATGTCTGACTCTGAAGGCAGCTGATAACTGTCAGACGGCCCTGGCCCCTCTCTGCTTCCAACACAGAGCCCTCATTAGAGCCTTCCCTGGACTCCAGGACTGGCCCATGATCCTCCCCAACCTCCTCACTGTCCGAATCTGCTGCCAGATCCGCTGGTGGGCCACAACAGCTTCTTGCCCCTGACAATGTCTTTCCCACACGCTCAGGCCGAGTCTTTTAAGGACCAAGACTGAGTCAGACTGAGGCTCCATAGCAACTTACTTTCCCTGGAAGCCATAGTAGCTGCCCAAAAGCTGCTTATATTCCTCGTGTGCGCAGAACTGGATGGCAGCGTAGGGGACCACCCGGACCATGGTGGCCGAGTTGCCTCGCCATAGGCTGAAGAAGCCTTCACTGAGGTAGGTACGATAGATCAGCCGGTAGGCCTCCTAGACAGACGAGGAACTGGATTAGGTGTGACATAGTTGAAAGGCAAAGGAGCTGTGAGCTTTTTAAGAGGGAAGGTTGGGCTAGGGCAGGCAGGATGCAGGGCGTTTTCAGATTGCAACTCAATGGGGTCCCCTCAAAATGTTGTTCCTGTTGTCCCACAGAATGGGTTGGTATCTGCCTTTCTTTCATCGATGGCAATATATGTGAGGTACCCAGATGATGCAGAAACTGGAACCAGGCTGTTGGACCATGGTAAGCCCAGAAAAGCAGATGCCAAGACTGGGAACTCTCAGAAGAAACTTGCTCCAGAACGAATATACCTCTGCTGCTCCTTCTTGCCCACAGTTCTCAGGAAGAGGGAGGAGGAGGAGGAAGAGGAAGAGAAGGAGACGAGGAGGAAACGTTGGAGAAGTAGGAGGAGGCAAAAGAGAAGGAGAAGGGGAAGAGAAGGAGGAGGAGAGACAATAAAATGTATGAGAAGAGGAGGAGGAAGAGGAAGAAGAAGGAGGAGGAGGAGAAGGAAAAAGAGAAAGAGAAGGAGATGAGGAGGAAAAGTTGGAGTAGTAGTAGTAGTAGTAGTAGTAGGAAGGAAGGAGGAGGGCAAAAGAGAAGGAGAAGAGGAAGAGAAGAAGGAGAGACAATAAAATGTATGAGAAGAGGAGGAGGAAGAGGAAGGAGGAGGAGAAGGAGAAGAAGGAAGAGAAAGAGAAAGAGAAGGAGACGAGGAGGAAAAGTTGGAGGAGGAGAAGGAAGAGGAGGGGGAGGAGGAGGAGGAAGAGGAAGAAGAAGGAGGAGGAGAAGGAAAAAGAGAAAGAGAAGGAGATGAGGAGGAAAAATTGGTGATGTAGTAGTAGTAGGAGGAGGAGGAGGCAAAAAAGGAGAAGAGGAAGAGAAGAAGGAAGAGAAGAAGGAAGAGAGACAATAAAATGTATGAGAAGAGGAGGAGGAAGAGGAAGGAGGAGGAGAAGGAGAAGAAGGAAGAGAAAGAGAAAGAGAAGGAGATGAGGAGGAAAAATTGGTGATGTAGTAGTAGTAGGAGGAGGAGGAGGCAAAAAAGGAGAAGAGGAAGAGAAGAAGGAAGAGAAGAAGGAAGAGAGACAATAAAATGTATGAGAAGAGGAGGAGGAAGAGAAAGGAGGAGGAGAAGGAGAAGAAGGAAGAGAAAGAGAAGGAGACGAGGAGGAAAAGTTGGAGGAGGAGAAGGAAGAGAAGGAGGAGGGGAGGAGGAAGAGAAAGAGGAGGAGGAGGAGAAGGAGAAGAAAGAAGAAGAAGAAGAAGAAGAAGAAGAAGAAGAAGAAGAAATCTGATTACTCCTTTAAGCCATAGTGGAGAGCATGTAAAACAGGATAGTAGAGCCCAGTGCCAGAGTCCAGCAGAAACACTGGGAACCTTTGGGTCCCTTTCTTTTAATGGAGGAGAGGCAATTAAGCGAGAAGGAAAGATTTTTGCCGCTAGACCCCTTCAGATGCTACTATAGGATAAGTCAATGTCACATCCAATGATCTGCCTCCTTACATAGAGCAAAGGCTTCTTTTTCTCTGTGTTGGAGTTAGCAATCAGCTGCACAGACCCTTATGAGGGTTGAATTCCTTTTTTAATGTCTATTATTTTGCTGGAATCTTAACCCCACAATTTTACTTCAATTGGCACATAGCAATAGCACTTAGATTTATATACCACTTCCCAGTGCTTTTACAGCCCTCTCTAAGCAGTTTACAGAGTCAGCCTCTTTCCCCCAACAATCTGGGTCCTCATTTTACCCAACTCGGAAGGATGGAAAGTTGAGTCAACCTTGAGAACTGGTGAGAGTCGAACTGCCAAACTGCTGGCAGCCGGCAGTCAGCAGAAGTATCCTGCAGTACTGCACTCTAGCCACTGCACCACCATGGCACAGACATGTGCCTACCGTTTAAAAGTAGCTCTCTTTTGACTAATTTTCATTGTCTCTTAAGAGGCTAGAAGGAGGGGCAAAGGAGCGGGGTGTTGAGATGAGAGTGACCCATGGGAGCAATTCAGTGAGATTCAATCCTTCCCTCAACCTGCAATGAAGCTTAGAAAAAAGAGAAGCATGTTTCACCTTACCTTAGCAGAAAATTTATTCGACGACACTGAAAAGAGAAAAAAGAAGAAGTCATACACAGATCAGCACTGCAACTAAGAAATCTATGGGCAGACCTAATCCATGCCCCAAATCAGCATTTTTGCACTCAGTCAGTTTCTGGGTTGGAACAGCCCAACCAAGAAAGGGAACCATTTCCGCTGTCTTTGTGAATTGGCATCTAATGTCTCAACAGGTCCACATTAGCTTGGAGGGAGATATGGTCAGATAGGCCAGTGTTTCTCCCCCTTGACAGCTTTAAGACGTGTGGACTTCAACTCCCAGAATGCTGGCTGGGGAATCCTGGGAATTGAAGTCCACACATCTTAAAGTTAGGTTGAGAAACTTTGGTGTGAGACAGTGGTCGGCAAACTTATTAGTCAACAGAGCCAAATATCAACAGTACAACGATTGAACTTTCTTTTGAGAGCCAAAAGAAGGTGTGGCCTGTTTTGTGGGGGTGGCTCGGCAGTCATGTGACTGGGTGGGCGTGGCCAACTATCACTCACTTAATCACTCTGTGAGTGTGTCTCTGTCTCTTTGTTTCTGTTTTCCACCCCCCCCCCCCTTCTCTCTCTCTCTCTCTCTCTGTCAGTCTCTCTCGGATTCCCTCGCTCCTTCTCTCTGTCCCTGTCTCTGTCCACAAAATACCGCGTGGAGCAGCGGCAAGGCTCTGCGTGGCTGGTGATGACTCTGGAGGCCATCTGCGGGAGGCAGGGTCTCCCTCACGTTCCTTCTCTTCCCGGATGGCTCCGGAGTCATCGCCAGCCGCGCAGAGCCTCGTCGCTGCTCCACACCATGGAAAACATGGGCACGCGCGCACAGCTTGTTTTCACTCACCCAGGCTTCTGCAGAAGC